GGCTTGACAACTCGGCCCTGGCTGGGTTGATTTAGTTGGGATTGGTCCTGCCTAGAGCAGGGGGCTCGACTTGATGACCTTCTGAGGTCTCTTCCAGCTCTGTGGTTCTATGATTCTATGGCAAAGGAAGTGCCGATAACATAAGTGGAATAGGAACAGTTGGTACCTTATGTAGCTAAAAGATGAGAAATGTATCTCCTTAAAATCGGTTTTCACTAAGGTCAAGGGTGGGAGTGAATTTGACAAGATCATTGTTTTGCTATTTCACTACTATGATAAGCAATGCACTTTCAATTCCTCTCACACTAACCTGTGAAACGAGAGCCATTTCACGTTGTCACAGAGGACCACCCCCGAGGTCATGAGCAACTCTGCAAAGTGTAAGGTATCGATCCCTTCATCCTCGTGCTTCTGGAACTGCAACCCAGAGTTTGCAAGGAGATCTATGGAATCCTGTGAATACATGTCCTCCCTAAAAGAGAAAGGCACCTTTGCATTAGATCGGCTGATCTGGCAGGCTCATAGCTGAAAAAAAGGATTCTCCAAAATACTTCAAAACACCAGCAGGTGACTCACAATGGTATCACTGGGCTTTTTTTTTTTTTAATGTCTTAGTGAACTTCATATCAATTCAGATCCAAGGTAAAAATGTTCTCAACTACTAGTGCTGCAACTTCAGCCTAAAATCTTTCTGGCCCGTGTAACACCAACAATAGCGATTCTGCAATTGTAACTTGGTTATTAATTCTACTGCAGATCTGCAAGCCAGAAGAACCCACATTTACTGTATCGGCTGACAGTTTCTGGGCATTGTTGCCTCTGCTAGTTAGCAGAAGCAAAACAGATTTTTGTAACAGAAGTGAGCAGACGAGGCTCATATTTAGTCAGCAGAGTTGTTACGAGTGAAGGTCACTGCAGATCTGTGCACATATTACTTTGCTTCATCTCCAATGCCATTTGAGAAATCAAATTGTATTTTTCCACTCCTAATTATTGCCTATTCTGTGGCCTCTTAAACAGGACCAGGAATGGGCAGAAAGAATGTATCATACAGAGCTTGGCAGAATAAGATTTTTTTGTTTCACAAGTTAATTTTTTCCATTCTGAAACAGAATGAGAACACAGATTTTCGTTTCCCACAAAATACATCTTAAACTAAAAAGCAGTTTCAAAACAAACAAAAAACCCTCCCGAAATATTCCATTCTGAAAGTGGCAACCCAGAACAATGACAGCACTGAAAGATGTTATGTTCAAAATGACATGTTTAGTGTTCACATTGCCATATTCTGAAAAATATCACACATTCCAGCCAGCCCTCCTATCATAAATAGGGATGTTAGATAGCAGGTAACAGAATAAAATCTTATCAGTTACTTGACTATTCTATATTCCCTGGGGCGGGGCTGACAACCACTGTGCTCTGGCCCCACTCCTGGGGAGCCCCCTGCCACCCTGCGCTGCTGCCTCTGTATCAGAGGCAGCAGCATGGGATGCCAGTTGGGAGCGGTCCATGAGAAGAGGCAGTTTAAAAGCCAGCTCCCCTTGTAGACCAGCTGCCTGCTGCCCCACACTGCTGCCTCTGATACAGAGGCAGCAGTGCCAGGTGGCAGCAACCCCTAGCCACAGGGTCCAAGCTCCCTACGGATAGAGGCTGCTGCAGGTGAGGGGTGACAGACAGGCTGCTGCAGAGCAGCCTCTGTCCACAGCGGTCTGGGCCAACCACAGAGGCTGGTATGACAGCAGCCCCTGTCTGGGGGGGGGGGGTCCCAGCTCCCTGCGGACAGAGTCCACTTCGCAACAGCCTCCTTGCCCCTCCCCTCCTGCACTGCTGCTTCTGATAGAGACAGGGCGGTACCACTGAGACGGTGTTGGGGGGGGGAGAACAGGCTTTTAAGATGGTTTCCTCCCAGAACCAGCTTCCCCCTACTTGCTGCCTCTGTAGTCGAGAAGATTAATTGATAAGCATACTCGACTACTTGTTTACATCCCTAATTATGAACAGTCATCCTTTCATTATGCCTAGATGGGAAAGGGTCCTGAAACTAATTTCTGCTCTAACATGGAGTCATGATATAGAAAAGGTTGAGAACCAGTGCCCTGTTCCATTTGTCAAGATTAGTGCTGCTGGATAGCTAATGCAGTTTGGTTAATATTTCTTGGCTTCGGTCACAGTTTGTACTTCAGCATGGCTCTGAGAAAAGGCACAGTTTTTAGGTGTTGAAGAACAAAGCGATAGCAGATCTGTTATTTCTGGACAAGGGTCCTTCAGGTTCCAGATAATAAATTAAAGTACTCAATGTTTGGGCCTAAACTATCTGGCAGTAATATCAAGCAAACAACATGTTACAAAGCTGAGATCAAGAGCAATATTTTAAACCAGCGTTTCTCAACCAGTGGTACGAGTACCCTTGAGAAAAGTCTGGGGAGTACCTCAACACAACTGAAATTTGGAGAAAACTGAATTTTTGTTTTAAATTTTACAGTGCTCGATTATTCTTGTACTTTTTACACCCAAAAATTTCATCGCCCACCCAGCTACAATTAAGTTGTTTAAACAAATGTGTTGCAATAGTAGAAAAAAAACTGTGTGTCTGAAAACTGTAGGTACCGAGGTGTTTTTTTTTTTAAAGGGGTACTTTATTTAAAAAAAGGTTGAGAAACTGTTTTAAACAAGGCTTTGACTTTCAGGAGTATTACAACAACTTTTTATCAAAAAAGGCTCATAAAAAAAAACTTAGTCCTTTTGTGCTGAGATCTGATTTTCCTGGTGCACCTTCAATTGCTGGCAGTGGAGACACTGAAACATGTTGTCACCAAGCAGAAATATAATATGAACAGTAGGGAGTAGTGGATAATTCTCTAACTCAGACGACTTACGTAAGGTTGAATTTGAAGTTAAATTGCCAGGTGTTGATCCCAGAAGGATATTCCCCCTTCTCATTTGTGAAAGTCAGGCCTAGCTGGATGATTTTCAGGAGATCAACATTACACCGAAGTAGTTGATACTGATAATCTATGGAGCTGCGGAATTCACCAATTGGCCTCACTACAACTCCAGGAAACTCTGTATCCTAGGCAAGAAGCATGGAAAAAAGTAAACCTTACTATAACAGCAAGTTGCATTCAGTCTGATACTAGTAGCTCTCAATACTAATCTTCCCACCCTTTATATGAGCAAAATTACAGTCTTTGCTTTCTCAGCGCTATTTGCTACACATTAAACTAGTACGTAGTAGCCACTAAATCCATACCTGTCTCCCTTAGCAATACAGATAGATACAGTACACTGGGCAGTAAGGAACACTAATACATAAGATCTCACAATATTTAGAACCAAAATGTAAATTCTACAAGATGGAGTAAGGTAAAGAAAACTTCCCAATACTCCAACCACCCTGACCTGAGTGATAGATCCACAAAAGAAATGAAGCCTACCCTTAAGATTTACTTGCTTTCATAAATTAGCAAGTGTTAATGATTCCTCACATTAAACAAAGGTTAAACTTAATTTTGTCTGGAGACATATACTCAAAGTGATATTGCCCCATGACTCTTGTATTATCCAATGGGGGTATTTTTCATTGTTTACGTACTCCCATATTTAAATATGGGGGATGATGTAGCTGATAAAACACAGAATGCCCACAGCCAAACTGTTCATTGCAAGCATTTAATCTCAGAGTTTTACAGGCATTCTTGTCCATAATAAAACTTATGGTATGGAATGATAATGCTCAGGCCAAGCAGTAAAATACATTGACTTGATGCAACAATCACTCAGTGTTTGTTTCCTAATCTGTCCTTTCATTAATAAGCAAAAATCACAATTTTTTTTTGGAAGCTGGGAAATAAATTCAGGAAACAAACACTCAATAGGTTTGCACTTGTTTCCTGATGAAGCGTTTTGCTTTGCTTTACTATGTTTTTGAAACCATCACTGTGCACTTCATACATTATATTACTACTGATTTAAACATTTGTAAAGGAAAAGTACAAAAAAATTAAAAACCCCTATCTGAATGGTTTTGGTACTTCCCAGGGAGAGAAGCTATTTTACTTCTACTTCCCAGCAGGAAGGCTAGTCTGCTCACAGTTTTAAAGTCAAAGTGCTAATCCCCCAATTATATTTACTAGAATACCTGATGAACAATTCATACCCTTTCAACAACTACAACAAAACTGGATTAAGTGAACAAAAAAAACCCCAAAAGTGTAGAGAATGCTAAGAGAAACTGCAATTTTAGAGAACTTCTATTTCATCTACAGACCTCTGTTAAAAAAAGAATCTTCCTGGGTGTTACTGTTACATCCTGCTACTACTCACTTATCAATGGTGCCCTTTCTTTCAGTTTATAATGTTGTTGCACATATAAAGATAAGGGTTTTTTTTTCCCTGCTGGAATAAATCATTTATCTATGAAAATCTATTTTATATCTGTGACCACATGTTGTCCTAAGCACTTTAAAAATCAGTACAGTGGTTACTTGTTGTGTGTTCTCTCATGCTGTGGTAAATCATCATTGCTTCTGGGAGATATTCCTATTAGACAACACTCTAGATGCCCTCATCTGATAAGAAACTTCTGCAATAACTGAATGTAAAGAGGGACCCTAACAATGGAGAAAATATGTATGAAAAAGTTTCTGTTCAGTAATGTTTGTGTTCTCTATTATTTCAGATTTGTGGCCTAAATTCCCCTCAGATATACTCATTCATCTTCTGTAGTCTAATTTAAAGAGAAACAAGTGTTCATAGTAAAAGAATTCAATCTTATTTGACAATCTCTTCCACAGCCCAACATCCTTTCTGCCTGATTCTACAATATCAATCATGCATGTGAGACAACAGTGTGGCCACGGACTATAACAACATACATTCAACTGAAATTTCAATTCTGAAAGTTCAAAAAGGAAGAGGTTATAGATGGGAAAGGAGGAAGCTCCTGCTTCAGCACTTTTACAAACCATCCTGAGGTATATGCATCTCAGTGGTGATGGAACTGATTTGTATTCATACACTTGCATGGTGGGTGCCATTAGAAATTGGCTCTTTTTCTGTACCACAGCATATACAGAGCTTCTCTAACCTTAAAGGGCAATTACAGCTAATGATGATAAATATCCCATTTTTAAGTGTGCTCAGAACGGATGTGTGACCTTGTAAGGGAATTTGGATATCTTGGGGTTTAGAGACACTTAGTGAAGATAAAACACATGGTTTTGTTTTGAAGGACTGAAAGCTCCTGCTACAAAATTCCCTTCCCAAAACTGTGTGTCAACAAAATTCTTGGGTCTTTTATACATTTATCAGAACAAGTCAAAATCAGGCTCAAGCCAAAATCATTCTCTTTCCTGATCAGGCACTGCTGCCTTATCATTACAAAAAGAGAGTAATCCTATTAGCTAACACGTTGTGACTTGTGTGCCAGGCAAATATTAACCTGCCATTCAAATTAAAAATATGCTAACTACATTAAACAGCTTAGAACCAAGTAGGCATGTTTTTAAACTCTATTGTATGAACAAAAAAAGTATTTACAGATTTCATCTGTTCAGCATGCCCTCAATCCGCACTGTCTACTTACGTGATTTCAGAGAATCTACAAAAACTCTAAGCAAGATATTGGAAGAAGACCGTGTATTTTTAAAAAGTCATGTAAAATTTTAAATGCCAAGCTTCTTTCCAACTGTTCCCCCTTAATATTCAGCTTAAACGGACCCTGGAATGCTTATATTTATGAATAAGTGAGTAAGCTACCCACACTGAAATTCTCAGGTTAGTCAGCAGATGATCACTGAAGTACAGCATATTTACCATTGCAATGTAGCTGTAGCTGAGAACTATTTCTCGAATTTTCCTCATCTCCTCTTCCAGATTGTTTGCCCATACTTCACATATAACCTGACTGTTCTCCACAAGTGCTGCTGGCATCTTGCAGGAATTGGAGTAGAAGCACCTAATATCAAAATTGGAAAGTAAGTAGGGTAGTGTAAAACCTAACTGGCATAGCGCAGTGAACACACACAAACATGCTACTTTGCATTAATACATCTCAACAAATCAGAACAAAAATACAGACAGTGAGTTAGTATGGAATGTTTCTAGTCTGGAGTATCCCTTTCAGCTGGCATATCTGAGTTATTAAAATAACTTCTTTTCTGCTTTTAGAACATTTTTGTAATACGCAGTAAACTTCTGTTTTAAATTGGCAGAAGATATCCAGGATTACTAAGTCCAACTGAAACAAGTCTGCACACTTCAAGTATAAGGCCTATTTTTGCAAACCTAAAGAAAACTAATTAGGGATGTAAGTGACTAGTGGAGTCACTACTCCCCCCTGTTGCTACCTCTATCAGAGGCAGCAATGGGGGGGGGGGGGAAACAGGAGCCAGTGCTGACGGGAGCCAGCTTAAAAGCAGGTTCCCCCCCAGCACCATCTTTGCAGGGGAGGCAGAGGTGCAGCAGGCAAATGGGCGCAAGCCAGGACTCAGCTGTCCCGGCTCGCACCCAGTCCCCCGCTGCAGGTCTGCCTTTTAAATGTAGTAAGAGCCGGGCAGCTCCCAGGGCAGGGAGCTAACTGTGCTGCAGCTCTGCCGTTGCCCCCTTTAACGACTAATCAAATAGTCAATGGAAATTCCTAATCGACTACTCAATTAACTCATTAAACCCAGTTTATCATCCTTAGAACTAATACCTTAATTTAGTATTGCTTTTGCTACAGTGTTTTTCTCTTAGGGCTAGAAAGTGAGAATAAATAGCTTCTTATTACACTGTTATTTGTAAGATGTGTGCTGCTCTGTTTCAATTCCCCAAGACCTGTTCTACAAAGATTTTGCAGAAGTTTAACTATTCCATTAAGGATTGTGATTGTATGCTGATAATATTACATCAGTACAACCACTTGTGTGGACAGTATTAACAGTGAAGATTATTCTAATACATTTATGAGACAAAATACATTGGTATAACTGCACTCCCTAAGGGGATTATGCTGATAGTTAAAGCAGTATGAAAACCAGGGGTAGACGAGAACCAATATTATACCTAGAAACAACATGCAAAGCATCTAGAGTTATTTACAGAAGCTGCAGTGAAGCCAAACAGTTCATCAAAAGCTTTATAAAAGCAGATACTGATCAATATTGTTTTACCTGTCAAGGAACTACTGTTTTTAAGTTTAATGTCATCAGTGTAGGCCTTTCGGTTCTTGCCAACTCTAGCTTTCCCAGAATTCTTTTAATGCCGTGATACATAGAAGGGGAAATATACCACCCTTGTAATTATGGTGTTGAAACTTTGGCTTGTTGGCAGCCTTTAAAAGATGAGATACTATCCATGGCTAATTATTAGTGGGCAGGTCTCCACATAAATGGCATACCTGTTGGCAGCCCCAATCAAGCCTCCAGGATTTGTGGGCAACTCAGGAATGGGATACACAGGCAAAGCTGAAGTCTACATCTACTTCTGACTGGTGGCAGATTCACACTGCAAGAAGTCTGAATGCTACTGTTCCCGAGAAAGAGGGCACACCTGTGATCTGGGAAGGGAACAAGGCCTCCACGAAATTATCCAGCAGCAAGCAGTTGCTCTTTGCCTGGGACTGTCTCATGAAGGGACAGGTAAATCCTTCTTTAAGAGAAGGGGCTGAATCAGGCCACAGGAGGGCAGTGAAATAACTACCAGCGACTTTCCACCTTCCTTCAGGAAGCGGAAGTTACATTTCTCACAACAGAAATAAAAAGCCACAAAAATAATCCATGGGCAACTTTCTGCATCCCAATGCCCCCCACTGACTGCACCTTCAATAGCCATGGGGTCTCTTGGGTTCTGCTCCCCACTGCAGCCTTTCCTATTCCTTCCCCTTTTACCCCCCTCAGGGCCTCCCTTCCTGAGGACCCCCTCCCCCTTGCACTCTCCCACCCCCCTTCCTCAAGTCCCCCTCCCCCTTGCACTCTCTCGCCCCCCCTTCCTCAAGTCCCCCTCCCCCTTGCACTCTCTCGCCCCCCCTTCCTCAAGTCCCCCTCCCCCTTGCACTCTCTCGCCCCCCCTTCCTCAAGTCCCCCTCCCCCTTGCACTCTCTCGCCCCCCCTTCCTCAAGTCCCCCTCCCCCTTGCACTCTCTCGCCCCCCCTTCCTCAAGTCCCCCTCCCCCTTGCACTCTCTCGCCCCCCCTTCCTCAAGTCCCCCTCCCCCTTGCACTCTCTCGCCCCCCCTTCCTCAAGTCCCCCTCCCCCTTGCACTCTCTCGCCCCCCCTTCCTCAAGTCCCCCTCCCCCTTGCACTCTCTCGCCCCCCCTTCCTCAAGTCCCCCTCCCCCTTGCACTCTCTCGCCCCCCCTTCCTCAAGTCCCCCTCCCCCTTGCACTCTCTCGCCCCCCCTTCCTCAAGTCCCCCTCCCCCTTGCACTCTCTCGCCCCCCCTTCCTCAAGTCCCCCTCCCCCTTGCACTCTCTCGCCCCCCCTTCCTCAAGTCCCCCTCCCCCTTGCACTCTCTCGCCCCCCCTTCCTCAAGTCCCCCTCCCCCTTGCACTCTCTCGCCCCCCCTTCCTCAAGTCCCCCTCCCCCTTGCACTCTCTCGCCCCCCCTTCCTCAAGTCCCCCTCCCCCTTGCACTCTCTCGCCCCCCCTTCCTCAAGTCCCCCTCCCCCTTGCACTCTCTCGCCCCCCCTTCCTCAAGTCCCCCTCCCCCTTGCACTCTCTCGCCCCCCCTTCCTCAAGTCCCCCTCCCCCTTGCACTCTCTCGCCCCCCCTTCCTCAAGTCCCCCTCCCCCTTGCACTCTCTCGCCCCCCCTTCCTCAAGTCCCCCTCCCCCTTGCACTCTCTCGCCCCCCCTTCCTCAAGTCCCCCTCCCCCTTGCACTCTCTCGCCCCCCCTTCCTCAAGTCCCCCTCCCCCTTGCACTCTCTCGCCCCCCCTTCCTCAAGTCCCCCTCCCCCTTGCACTCTCTCGCCCCCCCTTCCTCAAGTCCCCCTCCCCCTTGCACTCTCTCGCCCCCCCTTCCTCAAGTCCCCCTCCCCCTTGCACTCTCTCGCCCCCCCTTCCTCAAGTCCCCCTCCCCCTTGCACTCTCTCGCCCCCCCTTCCTCAAGTCCCCCTCCCCCTTGCACTCTCTCGCCCCCCCTTCCTCAAGTCCCCCTCCCCCTTGCACTCTCTCGCCCCCCCTTCCTCAAGTCCCCCTCCCCCTTGCACTCTCTCGCCCCCCCTTCCTCAAGTCCCCCTCCCCCTTGCACTCTCTCGCCCCCCCTTCCTCAAGTCCCCCTCCCCCTTGCACTCTCTCGCCCCCCCTTCCTCAAGTCCCCCTCCCCCTTGCACTCTCTCGCCCCCCCTTCCTCAAGTCCCCCTCCCCCTTGCACTCTCTCGCCCCCCCTTCCTCAAGTCCCCCTCCCCCTTGCACTCTCTCGCCCCCCCTTCCTCAAGTCCCCCTCCCCCTTGCACTCTCTCGCCCCCCCTTCCTCAAGTCCCCCTCCCCCTTGCACTCTCTCGCCCCCCCTTCCTCAAGTCCCCCTCCCCCTTGCACTCTCTCGCCCCCCCTTCCTCAAGTCCCCCTCCCCCTTGCACTCTCTCGCCCCCCCTTCCTCAAGTCCCCCTCCCCCTTGCACTCTCTCGCCCCCCCTTCCTCAAGTCCCCCTCCCCCTTGCACTCTCTCGCCCCCCCTTCCTCAAGTCCCCCTCCCCCTTGCACTCTCTCGCCCCCCCTTCCTCAAGTCCCCCTCCCCCTTGCACTCTCTCGCCCCCCCTTCCTCAAGTCCCCCTCCCCCTTGCACTCTCTCGCCCCCCCTTCCTCAAGTCCCCCTCCCCCTTGCACTCTCTCGCCCCCCCTTCCTCAAGTCCCCCTCCCCCTTGCACTCTCTCGCCCCCCCTTCCTCAAGTCCCCCTCCCCCTTGCACTCTCTCGCCCCCCCTTCCTCAAGTCCCCCTCCCCCTTGCACTCTCTCGCCCCCCCTTCCTCAAGTCCCCCTCCCCCTTGCACTCTCTCGCCCCCCCTTCCTCAAGTCCCCCTCCCCCTTGCACTCTCTCGCCCCCCCTTCCTCAAGTCCCCCTCCCCCTTGCACTCTCTCGCCCCCCCTTCCTCAAGTCCCCCTCCCCCTTGCACTCTCTCGCCCCCCCTTCCTCAAGTCCCCCTCCCCCTTGCACTCTCTCGCCCCCCCTTCCTCAAGTCCCCCTCCCCCTTGCACTCTCTCGCCCCCCCTTCCTCAAGTCCCCCTCCCCCTTGCACTCTCTCGCCCCCCCTTCCTCAAGTCCCCCTCCCCCTTGCACTCTCTCGCCCCCCCTTCCTCAAGTCCCCCTCCCCCTTGCACTCTCTCGCCCCCCCTTCCTCAAGTCCCCCTCCCCCTTGCACTCTCTCGCCCCCCCTTCCTCAAGTCCCCCTCCCCCTTGCACTCTCTCGCCCCCCCTTCCTCAAGTCCCCCTCCCCCTTGCACTCTCTCGCCCCCCCTTCCTCAAGTCCCCCTCCCCCTTGCACTCTCTCGCCCCCCCTTCCTCAAGTCCCCCTCCCCCTTGCACTCTCTCGCCCCCCCTTCCTCAAGTCCCCCTCCCCCTTGCACTCTCTCGCCCCCCCTTCCTCAAGTCCCCCTCCCCCTTGCACTCTCTCGCCCCCCCTTCCTCAAGTCCCCCTCCCCCTTGCACTCTCTCGCCCCCCCTTCCTCAAGTCCCCCTCCCCCTTGCACTCTCTCGCCCCCCCTTCCTCAAGTCCCCCTCCCCCTTGCACTCTCTCGCCCCCCCTTCCTCAAGTCCCCCTCCCCCTTGCACTCTCCCCCCCCCCCCCCACCCCCGGGTACCCACATTAGGCTCCCAGCTTGCAGCCATTGCCCCCTTGGGCACAGACCTGCCTTGCTTCTTCTGACTGGGATGGTCCAGGCTGCGCCGCGCCCATCTAGACTGAGTTCCCAAGCACGCCTGGGGACGCCTGTCCAGGTAAAAACCCTCCTTGCTGACTTGGGTTTGTGCCAGAACAGCTCTGTGGTCTTTCCTCTGAGCAGGTACATGTATTCGTAAAATGAAAAGTGTCATACAGAAACAAGAGTCTTCTCACGTGACAATCAGCTCACCTGCCCTCTCCCAGCAAAGGCTCCCTACATCCAAGCTGATCAGTCTCTTACATCCCACCAAGGGGATTTTCTGTGATCACAAACGTGTAACAGCTTTGAACCCAGAACAAGCATCTCTGTGAGTCATGTCATTATACAGGTTAGGCCTCTGTTCTTGTCCTCACGAAAAAGGTGATCGGGAATAAAAAGTCGCATTCTCAGGGTGCAGTTTCAAAAGACTGGGTCTAGAGGTGGGTAATTTGCCTTCCTCTCTTCCTAAGTATTTTCAAGGAAACACATTTAACTAAAAATTCAATCTTGTTTGGCCCATAATTTTAACATAAACAGTTGCAATTTTAATACAATGAACTCTTAAGGTATCTAAAGTTAATTCAATAAGTTTTGTCCAGGTTATTGCTGTGTATGTTTCAGAAACAACAGGGTGTGATGAGCCTTCCCACTACTCTTAGGAGCTAGACTCAGGACAACCCGTTCAGATCTAATCACAACCAATAGCTACGGAAGACTTCACTCTGGCTAGGGTATCGCTGTCTATGCCAGGATTCCTTGGAGACTACAGGCCCAACCCTAGCCTGCCACAGTTAATTGGTGCATCACTAACATGCATCCCCAGCAGATCAGATGCTGAAGCGTAATTCCTATCCATGAGGACTATGCCCTCCACTTTGCCTCTGGTTTTGCTGCTCTGAAGTGATTCTCAGGGGTCTGCATCTGAGGGAGGGAGATACCTGCCTGTCTGCATCTGGCTTTACTAAAGGAGAAGAAGCCCTTGACTGACAGGTCCCAAAGTTTTTTACAAAACATGGAAGTAGATGCTCTGCTTCAGAGGTTGTTCTCTTCCCATAATTCAAGGTTAGGTGACTTCTTTCATTCTACTGAATCTTGGTTTGGTGCCTTGGTTAGACAGGTTTTTGGAACTCGTTTCATTTCACATATCAGATTTATTTCAGTATCCCTGTCCTTTCATCCTACCAATAGGGGCGACTCTATGGGTGCTCCAGGGCTCAGACACCCACCCAAAAAAAATAGTGGATGCTCGGTACCCAAGACCAGAGCTGGATTGTGGAATGTGATGAGTTCTGTGCTGCTAACAACCTCTGCCCTTGGGGCAGGGAGTTTGTTTATATACAGAACAGGATGATTAAGATAACAAAACGCTTGTCATTAATTAAGAATCATTAGATGATCCTGAAAGCAGTCTCATGTACTCCAGTTAAAAGACAGGAAACAAACCATAGGAATAAATAATCCATTCTCAGAAAGATAAAGAGTGGTGTCCCCAAGGAGCTTGTACTGAGACCCGTGGTATTCAGCATATCCAAAAATGATCTTCAGAAAGGATCAACTGAGGTGCCAAAGTTTGCAGATGATACAAAATTACTCAAGATAGCTAAGTCTAAAACAGACATCAAAGAATTTCAAAGGGATCTCACAAAATTGGGTGACTTAGCAACAAAGTGACAGTTGAACTTCTATGTTGCATGCAAAGTAATGCACGCAGTAAAATATCATTCCTACTATACCGACAAAATATTGGTGCCTAAATTGGCTGTTACTCATCAACAAAGAGATTTTGGAGTCATTTGCTGTAGAGTACTGCAGATTCATAGAATCTTTCTCTTTGTGCCTGAATCATCCTGAACTCGTTCTGCAGCTTCAGAACACTTAAAAATTATCTCCAGTCATCAATGGGATAGGCACAAATGAATAATTTCTTAGCGTCCTTAACATGCACCAAAACAATAGCAGGGAACCTAGATGTAAATTAGATTGCTTGCAGTTTTATCCGGAAAGCTACAGTGAGATATGTCTTTAAACTGGGATGTTAGTGAAGACAACATGTAGGTGATTGCAATAATTTTAATATACAATAATTCATGATCATCTAATTATGTAATTCATAATAATTGAATCATTCTTACAAAAGTAAAGATGCCAATAATAGGCACATTCAATAATTAAAATATGAAAGTGTTTATATATATTGTGAAAATAGCCTCCCCCAAAACTGACAGGGTATCTCCCCAAGTGCACACTCCTCTTCAAAAACACCTACTGACAGAAAGAAAAGTCAGTGCCTACGATTGAACCCTTCACACAGACAACTTTCCAAGCACTATGAAAGTAATTTATCATTTTCCAGTAAGTGACCTCTTCCGTGTCAGCATATGTTTATCGTTCTATCACAACCAAAGAAATGGTGCTTTTGTAACTCAGTATTTATTGAACTTTAACTTTGAGGCTATTAGGAATATAAAGCTTATCTTTCCAGATTAGTTATTTTCATTCCCTTTTTGCTTTCTCAGCTGCAGCATATAGCCTTTAAGTTGCACGAGTTATACATTAATGCTCTATGTACTACTGGGGAAATTCTGTTCCAAAAATTAAAAGTTCTGTGCACAATATTTTAAAATTGTCTATATTTTATTTGTCAAATTAACAATCACACCAGTTTCAATTCTTTTGGTAATTTATTTGAAAATACCTGTCAGCAACTATGTCTGCGACAATAAAGACAAGAAGATTAAGGAAATGTTTTTTGACAAATGGATTCCTTACTAGGTACATTAATAAAGAGCTTTGAGTAATAATTCATTTAAACGACAATATAGAAATGTATTTCCCGCATCCCTCAGAAGCAGCTCAAAGGCTTGAGGGAGTGAGGGGTAATGGAGGAGTTAAAGGAGAGGGAAGTAATGGCTGGGAATTGCCTAATAGTTTTTTTATTTGGGAGGAGGAGCGTTAGGGAATTGGGGAGCCTCCTCCATGTAGACCCTAGTTGACCCCTCAACTCTCCTATTCATTCAGACATATTTGCCCATCCCCATCTGTCCCTTCACTCCCTCTCAACAACCCCTCCTCTCCAAGCCTCATGTTTCCCTGCTAGGGATGTGAATGGATAACTGGGTGAGGCTTACAAGATAACGGTTAACCGGAGCCTGGGAGCTGCTAATGGCCCACTGCGGGTGGAGGGCTACTCCAGCCCTGCCAGGTCCACTGCGCTGCAGACTGGGGTGAGAGCTGGCAGCCTCACGTGAAGCCAGGAGCCCCGTGTGGGGCCCAGGTAGAAGCAGCCCGCAGAGCTGACAGCCCTGTGGGATGGGGGCTGCTTCAGCCGGGATGGGACAGTCCCCCACCTGGGATCCCACTTAAAACCAGTTAAACCTCACATTTAACTAGTAAACTGATTAAATGGGATTTTACATTCCTAGTCCCTGCACACACACCCATTCCCATGTGTCCCTGTACTCCCACTCAGCCACCACTCTGTCCCCCCATCCCAATTTGCCCGTGCACCTCCCATTCAGCACCCAGCCTAGTCTCTCCCCTCATGAGCCCTAGTCTAGGTGATGCCTCCCCAGCCCTGTGTGCTCTGCTTTGTATATCTTCCCCCCATATCGGGTGCTTCCTCACTTGGCCCCATTGGCGGGGGGTTGTGAGGACCACTGCCTCTCCTGCCTTTCCACAATTGGCTGCTCTGGCCTGTGAGCCTGCTGCCCTCTGTTCTGGCACCACAGCAGCCCCTGGTGGGCAAAAGGCCTAATTGGATTGCCTCTCCAACAGAATGTGAAAAAAAAATCTGCAGGGCACATGAATTATATATGTGCACAATAGCATAGAATTCCCCTAAGAGTAGGCCTGCCAAAACAGAACCATCGCAAGCAGTACTGAGTGTGCAGCTCTGTTAAGCCCTTGCAAGGACATGAGACAGCCAGCCCAACGTTTTTCAATAGCAATGGAGACTTTTTGTAGTATGGATACCTGTCCACTGGGAACCAAACTAATTTCGGACGGGACACCAAATAGCCAAGAAATGGGAGCTGCTTTTGATTACAGGCAACCTGGATTGATTTATACTTGGAAATCTTATCTAGGCCGTTCAGTCCTCTGTTGGGAGAGTTATTCAAAAACAATTTCTTATTTAAATGAGAGTTAAAAGAAAACACCAGTGTCTGTGGAATTTGGTGAGATTCCAGTGGCTTTTCACCTACTTTTTCCTACATCCAGAATAACCCTCCCACTGCAAGAACCAGTCATAGAGAAGCTCTGGTCAGTGAGTTTGTCCTCACTCAGTCTGTGTATTTCCAGGCTCTGTGCTATGTTTTGGTTTGTGAAATGCATCATTGCTTCTCCTGCAGTTTATGAGGCACAGAAATAGCCCCTGCCCACCCCAGAGAAGTTAGTGTTTAGAGAAAAGGTTTTGTAATGTAACAGCAGCTTAGCTCTAAAATAAAGTCACAGCAAGTGGCTGAGGTACCAAGGGGCCATCTAGGGGGAATGTGAGACTGAAGTTTGAAGAGCTGCCCTCCCCCAGAACAAGACTTGATGAAAAGTCTGTCTGCATGAGTATGAAGCCACAGACCACAGGGCATTTTTCATTCTTGTACTTATGGCTCTCTCTACACTTCTAGCCATCATTAACCAAGATGCCTTGCAGACCTGGCAGAGGTAAGTGGAAGTGTTTCAAGGTGTCGCTTGTTTCTTCCTCATATACTAAATCCAGAACGTGGTGATGGGTAGTTGCAGCACCACTCCTAGAGCTTGGATTTACAGCCACACTATCTGCTAGAATAAGTTGCATGTTCCGGGGCCACCCCTATATACTAAACATGAGAGCTGCTGCAACTTTACCCAGTGCTTTCATATATGCTACAAACTTCACTTGGTGTAAATACCATTGTTAAGCACAAGGGAACCCCAATTTATTTTTTTCTACATTGACAAGACCAATATCATGTACCCTTGCTCTAGTCCTGTTTATGCAGTGTTAAGCAAACAATCACACTGGTTGTGAAGACATGAGGCCACCAAGGAGTTCAGCAGCATTGCCCAATAACTCCCTGGTCCCATCAATATGCTTTTAACCATTCAATTGCACTGATTTTTAATTCTTTCTACTCGCAGCTCTGGATGGGGGCAGTAAGAGTCATCAAACTGATTTATGTGTAACTTATGAAAACAAAAGTGAACTTTTTTTAATGATGTGGCTTAAATTACTTTTAAACCAAAAATAAACGTGAAGCAGTCACACCAATCACGCACCTGGACAATCTCTGTCACCTTCACACTGTCTCTCTCGCTCAGGCATTGTAAAGTGAAAGAAAGGGCGGAACGGTTGCCAGCCCCAGTAATGATCTAACACTGGCTTCACATGACCTGCCTGGGAGGGACAATCAGCTGCTTACTTATAGACACACCTCCACCCTCCCGTGCTTGAGGATGTGTTACAGGGACGACAGCAGCGGTGAAAGGCAGGGGATTGAATTCTAGATCAGGTGTTGGCCAGCGATCCAGCCCCCTTCTAGGCTGCAGCCAGCAGGAGGTGAGCAAAGGAAACAGCTGCTGAGGGGTACAGTGGTGGAGAGGTACTTGATGGAAACTATCGGGGTGGCCACTCCATTAAGAGACTTACAGCCTGTCATTAGATCTATGAATGTATTTCTTTAAAAAAATATTGCAGGCTTTTCAGAGCGGGGAGTACGACTGCCGTCCTGTTTGGGCAGTGCCTGGCATAGTGGGTATGTAAGCAAGGTCTGTACCTACCCTTCGGGCAAGGGTGGCCACTGAGCACCTTTCCTGGGGGGTTTTGCAGTTATGGGGTTCCCCAACTTGGCCAATCCACAGGTGCATCTGGTTAGGTCTCAGATACCAGTTGTTTCTTCTCCTGGGCAAGACTGTTGTTCCAACAGCTGACTGTCAGCTGATGTTGATGCCAGTGACATTTTCACTCAGACCCTGAGGGGTCAGGAGAGAGGAGCTGTGTCATGGAGCGAGTCCTTTGCCACAGCTGTTATTCAGCTCCTGCACTTGCCAGCAGCAGCTGGGTCAGCAGTTGGTGTCGGCAAAGAGGGACTAATTGCTGGCTTAATGTAATTAGAAGAATGCATCTGCTCAGCTCCGGGTTGGAACCTAGGCTGGTAACAGTAATTTGGAGGCTGGGGGAGGGATCAAACTGATAAATAAATTTTTTGATGCTAGACTTTTTTAAAAGTTTTTCTAGTCAGTGTCACTGAGCCTTTGCCTGGCCTGCCATGGCTTCCTGCTCTTCCCTGCCTGGGTGATGCTGAGCAGCATCAGAAACATCACGCTGGTGCTGAAGGGAAACCCCAGAGCTACGTCTACACTGGCACCCTTTTCCGGAAATGCTTAAAACGGAAGAGTTTTCTGTTATAAGTATTTCCGGGAAAAGTGCGTCTACATTGGCAGGATGCTTTTCCGGAAAAGCGTCTGTGGCCAATGTAGACGCGCTTTTCCGGAAAAGCGTCTGTGGCCAATGTAGACGCGCTTTTCCGGAAAAAAGCCCCGATCGCGAAAATGACGATCGGGGCTTTTTTGCGGAAAAGACTACTGTGCTGTCTACACTGGCTCTTTTCCGGAGCAGTTTTTCCGGAAAAGGACTTTTGCCCGAACGGGAGCAGCATAGTTTTTCTGGAAAAACACTGACAATTTTACAGTAGATCGTCAGTGCTTTTCTGGAAAAGCAAGCGGCCAGTGTAGACAGCTGGCAAGTTATTCCGGAAAAGCGGCTCCGGAATAAGTGGCCCAGTGTAGACACAGCCCAGGAGAAGAGCATCGTCAGGAAGTAGCAGTTTAAGTGCCAGTGCAGCAAGGCTAAGTTCCAGGAGAACTTGATCCAGGTGTACCGTGTGAAGGGCATCATCCAGTATGTCCTTGTGATCTTCTGCGTGGGATCTGAGACGTCTGTGATGGCCACTTCGGCAGCTAGTCTGCAGAACTAGATCCTGACTGCCTTGCTGGCTGAGATCACGGCGTGCATGAAGGGCAAGCTGGAAAACACGTTGATGCATCACAACGCCTGACCCTCAAACCACCCCATAAATGCAGGTCATGGATCATTGTTGTTGGGAAATACATGGACTCTCTCCAGGTCTGAGCCTAAGCCACTCTGTTGAAGACGATTTGATGTATGTTGAAGGATGATAAGCCAGCTGGCTGTGAAGATAAGGGGCTGAGTTCAGCTGTCCTGAACACTGCCTCTCTGCCAAAATTAACCAACGACTTAAGGTTTTCCTGCACCCCAAAACTTGACATTGCAGTTGAGGTGGCCAGCCATCCGAAACCAGCTGGAGATCTCTTTTTGCCAGACGTGATTTCAGTCTTAGGTCTATGCCCAGTGACTGGGCAAGAATAACATCTGCGGCAGTTTGGGGCAGTTCTGTCGCGAATGTGGATATGAGAAGGAGAAAAGGCACAAGGTGGTTTGAAGCTGGAAAGGAGATTTCAAGAATCCACTCCTGAAGGGTGTCCTCGGGAGAACACCAGCTCCTTCCATGCTGAGGGGAGGGAGCCTTAACAGCTGGAGAGTTGGCAATTGATTTAAGAGAGCCAGTTCTACTGGATAGAGGCAGCTGGTCTCCCTGGCTGAGCCATCAGTGTCACCGGCTGGGGGACGAGGGAGATTCAAATCCTTTAGCCCAGCACGTAAGTGTATCAAATGCACAGCACTGAATGTGCAGGCGTGCCTTTGCACTCCCCAGCCCTCCTTCGGTGCACTGCTGCCTGTCTCTGCAAAGCTTAAATGAAATGACATAAGGGTGATACAGTTTGTCTCGCTCTCCCTGGGAGCTGCCTCTTCCTTACACTGGCACCTGCGTGTCTGACTGACATTCCACCATCCCTCCTCCAGCCCCCCGCCATGGCCACCTCCAACAGCAGGAGTGGCTGCAGCTCTGTGAGACTGTTCCCCGGTGCTTTCCATATGTTGCAGACACCACTCGGGGTCTGTGCCTGGGAAGGAATGAGGCTCAGGTGGTGCAAGACATTGGGGAGGGCAGACATTGATGGCTTGGTGAACTACACATGCCCTGTTCCCAGAGCGGATGCCTTATGCGCATTAGCTCCCCCAGCCCCTCTAAGCACTGCCTTTTCCATTCCTCTAGCCCACCTACCCTGCCATCTGATGGATGTAAGTTGCACCCAGAGATGAGAGGCGCTGGTCCTATGTTGATAGGCCCTGTGTCTCTCTGCTTCTCTTCCCACCCAATCTGGCCCCACTGTCTGGCCAACCCTATGTGCATTCGCTTTTCTTTGCTCTGATTGGGAGGTTGCGGAATCTCCATCTCTGGAGATATTTAAGAGCAGGTTGGACAGACATCTATCAGGGATGGTCTAGACAGTACTGGGTCCTGCCATGACCACAGGGGACTGGACTCGATGGCCTCTCGAGGTCCTTTCCAGTTCTAATGTTCTATGTTTCTATGATTGACTGGGTGTCACAAATCCAGCTTCATGGGACTCAGGGGAGAGCAATGTCCTCTGTGACGAGCCTCATGGAGTAAATGTGTTTCACCTGAAGAGCAGGTGGCAGGGACTGTGATAGGCAAAGTCAGTGTGGGGACATTGGGGCTCCTCCTCAGAAAACGTACACCGGCGAAACTTACCAGAACATTTCCCTCGGACGCAACTGTCTCACATCGGCAACCGTTTCCTCGCTAACACTTGTCACAAATGCAAATGCTTTCAACTAATGTGTGTCACAGAAGCTCCACCAGAGATGGTTTTTGTTGTGGCAGTGCCAGCCGAAGGGATCTGGCACGTGGACCAAAACTGTGTGGAGCAAATGAGTCAGCTTTGTCTGGAAGGGCTCTGTGCACTGTTGAGATCACGAACATTTTGGCTTGAGTTTGCCATGACTTTCACTGCAGCGAGGTTGCATTTGGCTAACCAGTGTTGCGGGAACTGCTGAGCGTGGCTGACTGCTAGCAACTGCCCTTTGCCTTCTGTGATGCATTTTGGAAGGTCTTGCAAAATGAAGTGAAACTGCTGTTCAGGCCAGGGCCATTGAACTACACATCTGAGTCAGGATGCCCCTTTGAGGCTGGCTATCGGGGTGGGGGGAGGGCTTTCCCATCTCATTTCCCACCCCTATTGAGAGGGAACCACTTTTATCTGTCTGCCTCCTTTCACAGCCTGTGCCAGAGGAATGGAAGCGAGGTGTGTCCTGAAAGAGCTGTGAGCAGAGACTTCGGGGGCTGCTCTGAGCAAGCAGCTGCTCACATGCCCCAGCAGTGGTGCAGTATGAGAACCTAAAAAGCACGGCCTAGAAGGAAAAGCCAAGCGCATTCTGGTGCCAAAACACCTGCTGAGATTGCAGGCCAGGAAATTCTTTTGGATGTGCCTGTTTGGAAAGAACTGCATCCTCCTGTTTGTAGCACTGGAGTATTCCTTTTAATACAGTCAGCTGGCTGCATGGGCCTTTTTCGGTGGCTGGCACGATAAAGTCTGTGAAAATGGATTAGCTCCATAAATTGCAGTTATAGAAAGACAGACCCATGTTGCAAGAATAATTATTCAAATTACGGTGTGTTTTATAGGCTGTTTGATGTGTGATCATTAGCTGTGGCTATGCCCAGGGCATAGTACCCTAAATTCTCATAGTACCTTTCCCCCCTTCCCATTCTCCACCTGGAAGACTGCAGGGGGGAACCCCTAACAGCCCTAAAAGATTGCAGAAAAAGCCCGTACCCCCCCACTGCTGCAAAGAGGAGGTCTTGTGGAGGGTGGAGGGCTTCTGCCCTGCATGTTGGAAAATGTTTACTTGTGCTGCTGGGGGGGGGGGGGAGGCAGGACTTGAACCCCTAGCCCCTAACCCTACCCTTCCCCAGCAAATGCCCTATCCCCCAGGTCACTCGAGAGCCCAACTCAGCTCACCACTAGCTGAATTTCGGCTTTGGCTGTGCCAGTATCTTACTTCAGGAGTTGAGGACATAGTGCTCCTGGCTGGGATGGGCATGTTGTAATAACTGTTTCAAACGCTTTCTAAAACTACTTACAAAGTCAGATTTAAAAAACCAGCATCAGTTCCAGGTGGCTCATTTCATGTCCGACTGCAGCTGAGAGGGTTAATGTTTGTTTGACTACTGTCTGGTTTATATACCAGTGCAAATTCAGTGTCCAGTGGCTTAATTATTTCTTTGTTTATTGGACTAGCCCCAGCTCAGTGGTACAGTATATGTGAGTGTTTAGTAGATACATCCTGGCATATCTCAGCAAAAAGGCTATTCGTGGGGTGCTGGGAGCAGGACAAGAGCCAGCTAAATTTGGCTTTTGCCTTTAAATGTAATAATAGCGATCACAGTCCTCTCAAGTCAAAGAGGAATGCTGTAATTTGGTTACTGTGAAGAAAGGGACTTGGCCTTGCAACATACTAGTGGCTATTTTCACAATTCATCAAAAACTCAAGAGCTGACATTAAGCTGGACAATCCTACTGCCTCTCCTAAAGACTCAAAGCCAACGATCAATCTTCCCAGCCTTCTACCTTGTGGCAGACGGATTTCCAAGGGGATTTGAGCTCCTGGATCAATGGAGAAGATTTTCTAGAGCACCAGCCATCTAGCAGGTTATTGTGAGTCAGGTCAAAGCCAGTTAGGCTCTGCCTTTTATATACCTAGCTATCTAGGACCTTAGAGTCATAGAATACTAGGACTGGAAGGGACCTTGAGAGGACCCAGTACTGTCTACACCAGGGGTTCTTAACCTTGTTACCTTCATACCTCCCCTGAAAATGAACTTCATGTTCACACCCCCCTGGGAGCAATTTTGTGCACAGCCTAACCCCGCCCCCTCACCTGACAGGAAGCTAAGGGACGTGGCTAGGACTATAAGAACTCTGCCAGGGAGCTCAGTCGGGGCCCTGCCTCTGAGGGAGACAGAGGCCTGCCCAGAGCTCCTGGCTGACGAGGCTGAGATCTGGCCCGGGCCTCCCACAGCCGCCTTCCCTCAGGCCAGCGAAGGCTTCCCTGCCTGGGCCACTGAGGCCTGGCCAAGCCGGCCAGCAGGGCTACCCTCTGACCCAGAGGAACCCAAGGCTCTACTGGTTCCTGGCGATTCGGAGGACTGGCCTGAACTGAAGGCCCAGCTCGAACCCCAAGGCCTGCCTGAACCCTGGGACCTGGCGAACCCGCTGGACGCAGCCGTCCGAGCTAATTCCCAAGTCAGACGGCTGGTGGCGCTGCGGGGTGACTGAACCCCGTTACGATGCCTAAATGAATAATATGAGCTTTTTACTTTGAACCTTTTCCTAACAAATGTACGTAATATGTGAAGATGAAAGTCGGCAATGCTCACGTACTGTTATTGTAGCGTGTCGTCACACAGGCCTGACTGATTCGCACTGCTATTGTCATGTGCCGATCTCTAGACGTTAATAAGAAATTAATGTTTATAATTTTAATTCATAATATTAATTATGAAGAAATCTAAACTTTAGAATTTTATCCAGTGAGAAGGCAATTGCGATACATTTTCTGGGAGGCACCTCACACCTCCCCTGTGTCCCCTTCACACCTCCCCTGGGGAGGCACACCTCACTGGTTAAAAACCCCTGGTCTAGACCATCCCTGACAGATGTCTATCTAACCTACTGTTAAATATCTCCAGAGATGGAGATTGCACAACTTCCCTAGGCAATAGATGGAGATTCCGCAACCTCCCTGGGCAATTTATTCCAGTGTTTAACCACCCTGACAGTTAGGAACTTTTTCCTAATGTCCAACCTAAACCTCCCTTGCTGCAGTTTAAGCCCATTGCTTCTTGTTCTATCCTCAGAGGCCAAGGAGAACAAGTTTTCTCCCTCCTCTTTATGACACCCTTTTAGATATCTGAAAACTGCTATCATGTCCCCCCTCAATCTTCTCTTTTCTAAACTAAACACATTTCTTTCAGCCTTCCTTTATAGGTCATGTTCTCTAGACCTTTAATCATTCTCAGTGCTCTTCTCTGCACCCTCTTCAATTTTTCCACATCTTTCTTGAAATGCGGTGCCCAGAACTGGACACAATACTCCAACTGAGGCCTAACCAGCGCAGAGTAGAGCGGAAGAATGACATCTCGTGTCTTGCTCACAACACACCTGTTACTGCATCCTAGAATCACATTTGCTTTTTTTGCAAGTGTCACACTATTGACTCATATTTAGCTTGTAGTCCACTATCATCCCTAGATCCCTTTCTGCTGTACTCCTTCCTAGACAGTCACTTCCCATTCTGTATGTGTGAAACTGATTGTTCCTACCTAAGTGGAGCACTTAGCATTTGTCCTTATTAAACTTCATCCTGTTTACCTCAGACCATTTCTCCAGTTTGTCCAGATCATTTTGAATTATGACCCTATCCTCCAAAACAGTTGCATCCCCTCCCAGTTTGGTATCATCTGCAAACGTAATACGCGTACTCTCTATGCCGATATAACATTGCACATCCCCATAGTATCTGAGCAATGCTCAGGAAAGACTCCACGCAGTGATGAAAGTCCTGTGGGCCAAACTATGCTGTCATAGAAGAACAGTTTCAGTTAATACAGTCTTTGTAGCATATCCATTTCAAAAGAGGTTTGTTTCGTTTCAGCACAGAGAAAAAGTGAAGTCTGAAAAAGAAATTGCTCATTTAAGCATAAGCTATTTACTGTACAACCCATTTCACTAAGGACAGTGCGTGCAACTGCCTAGCTAGATAACATCGCAGAGATAATGGGGTTATATTTGGATGGAGCATAACAGCGCAATGTGATTTGATAAGCATTTTCCACAGGGCAAAGGGCCTTTTGCAAAATCTGATAATTTTATCCTGCAGGAAACACTTGTTCTCCCAGCAGCAGGATCTTTCTGCTTAGTAGTCAAAGGCTATGACTACACTTTTCTTCAGAAAAAGGTACGCAAATTGTGCTCTGCAATAACTTTTTCGGATTCTTTTTTTGGAAGAGGCTTTTCCAAACATTGCACTGGGCCAAATTTCAGAAAAACCTCCTCTTTCAGAAGAGCCCTTCTTCCTCGTGAAACAAGGCTTACAGGGCTTCCGAAAGAGAACATAAGAACATAAGAGCCCAGTATCCTGTCTGCCGACAGTGGCCAGCACCAGGTGCCCCAGAGAGGGTGGACCGAATACAATGATCAAGCGATTTGTCTTCTGCCATCCCTCTCCAGCCTCTGACAAACAGAGGCCAAGGACACCATTTTATCCCCTGGCTAATAGCCTTTTATGGACCTAACCTCCATGAAATTATCTAGCTTCTCTTTAAACTCTATTATAGTCCTAGCCTTCACAGCCTCCTCTGGCAAGGAGTTCCACAGGTTGACTACACGCTGTGTGAAGAAGAACTTTCTTTTATTAGTTTTAAACCTGCTACCCATTAATTTCATTTGGTGTCCTCTAGTTCTTCTATTATGGGAACTAATAAATAACTTTTCTTTATCAGCCCTCTCCACACCACTCATGATTTTATAGACCTCTATCATATCCCCCCTCAGTCTCCTCTTTTCTAAACTGAAAAGTCCCAGTCGCTTTAACCTCTCCTCATATGGGACCCGTTCCAAACCCCTAATCATTTTAGTTGCCCTTTTCTGAACCCTTTCCAAGGCCAAAATATCTTTTTTGAGGTGAGGAGACCACATCTGTACACAGTATTCAAGATGTGGGCGTACCATAGTTTTATACAGGGGCAGTAAGATATTCTGTCTTATTTTCTGTCCCTTTCCTAATAATTCCTAGCATCTTATTTGCCTTTTTGACCTCCGCTGCACTCTGTGTGGAAGTTTTCAGAGAACTGTCCACGATAACTCCAAGATCTCTTTCCTGATTTGTTGTAGCCAAATTAGCCCCCATCATACTGTACGTATAGTTGGGGTTATTTTTCCCGATGTGCATTACTTTACACTTATCCACATTAAATTTCATTTGCCATTTTGTTGCCCAATCACTCAGTTTGGTGAGATCTTCTTGGAGTCCCTCACAGTCTGCTTCTGTCTTGACTATCCTAAACAGTTTGGTATCATCTGCAAACTTTACTACCTCACTGCTTACCCCTTTCTCCAGATCATTTATGAATAAGTTGAAAAGGATTGGTCCCAGGACTGACCCTTGGGGTACACCACTAGTTACCCCTCTCCAATCTGAAAATTTACCATTTATTCCTACCCTTTGTTTCCTGTCTTTTAACCAGTTCTCAATCCAAGAAAGGACCTTTCCTCTTATCCCATGGCCATGTAATTTACACAAGAGCCTTTGGTGAGGGACCTTGTCAAAGGCTTTCTGAAAATCCAAGTATACTATATCTACTGGATCCCCCTTGTCCGCATGTTTGTTAACCCCTTCAAAGAACTCTAATAGATTAGTAAGACAGGATTTCCCTTTACAGAAACCATGTTGACTTTTGTCCAACAAATTATGTTCTTCTACATGCTTCACAATTTTATTCTTTACTATTGTTTCTACTAATTTGCCCGGTACTGAAGTTAGACTTACCGGTCTGTAATTTCCAGGGTCGCCTCTAGAGCCCTTTTTAAATATTGGTGTCACGTTGGCTACCTTCCAGTCATTAGGTACGGAAGCTGATTTTCAGAAGAGCAGACACGTTCCCTGGACGTGGCGGGGTTTTTCCAGGATACCTCTGTTATCCTGGAAAAACTCTGTAGTGTAGACGTACCCAAAGGTACCAACCATTTAGTGTGCTTCTCAGAAACACAGCCTCAAATGTCATTTGCTTTTCTCAGAATCTAGCAAACTGTTGCTAAGTTGGAAACAAAGGACACAGAGAAGATTTTATAGACTGGCAAGAATAGCACACTTTGGCCAAGGAAGGAGTATGGTGAGCGTAGAAGGCAGAAGCTAGCAAATGGGATGAAGACACTAGTGTAAATCTAAATAGCATCCTCTTGCGGTGCATCATTCAGTAGCTCAGTCAGGCTGCAAGTCTGAGCTTTAAGAGGCTGTTTCCCAGAGTTTGGTAGGACTGAGCACAGGTAGCCCACATGTTCTTACAGTTAGAATTGCTGAATTCTGGGCCCACCCCCCCACCACAGTCATTTGACAAGCCAGTTAGGGCTGAATTTCAGCACTGCCAAGCACCTATAGATCCAACAAAGTCATTAGGCGCCAGGGGTGCACAGCAACTCTGCGAATCAGACCTTCCCTTTCTAACCCATCGGTAACTAAACTCCAGACAGAGATGCGGGGCTGATGTACATCATCTGAGCTGAAATCCTACAGACTTTAAAGGTGCAAGCAAAGGCATTAAACTTTTACCGTTGCAAAGCTGAACTGTTGTCACCAAGCTAACATGTTGATTTGTGTGCTTGGCAGTGTGTTCCTTTACCCGGAAACCCTACAGAAGCAGCTCCCACCACTGGCAATATTAGCACCATAAAGGTAATGTAACAGCATCTTTTGAATTATTTATCTTGTCAGCACTTTGTGCTTTATACACTAGAGCCTGTCTGCTCCTGCCATAAAGGAGTGAGCTGATTGTGGACCCTTCCAGCTGAAATCCCCTCTTAAGAGCTCTCCAGGGTGCCGGCATGGCTCCAGCTGATGCTAATGGGAATTGGATGGCCAGATCTAGGCAAGAATGCACTGAGCTGAGCTCTGCATTAATAATATACGGAGATATACCTCTCTCGTTGAGTCCAGTCCTCAAGGCAGGGCTAAGTACCATCCCTGACAAATTTGCCCACAACCCCTAAATGGCTCCCTCAAGGATTGAGCTCACAACTTTGGGGTTAAGCAGGCCAATGCTCAAACCACTGAGCTAGCCCTCCCTCTGGTTATGCTGGCCTAAATGCAAACTAACTAGTGCTTTGCAGCTTTCAATGAGGTCCTGGCCATTCTCTTCACTGGGTCTCGTTCTTGCATCGTAAACAGACAAAGCGAGATGCTTCCTTCTGTGTTAGTGGCTTGTGGCAGTATTTTGGAGAATGTGGTTAGCGGGTTTACTGAGCACTAAGACTCTAATCTTGCAGATCCAACAAAATTCCCATGGATTTGATTACAGTGAGGTTCTGCCATAGTAAGGAGAGGAGGGTACATCGGACGACCTAGCAAAGCATAAGGCCTTTTTCTTGGCTACCTGCCTTAGTTCTAAAAACACCTATTCTGCCCTTTTTTTCCACCATGCCTTATCCTTGGCATGGGCTGGGGTTTAACCAAGGGCAGAATCTGGCTTGTTGCTTCTGTGTATTTGGTGTTGTATTGCTCATTTGAACATTGAAGGGCCAGTGAAGCTGAGGTGAGATCACGTGTAAGGAATAGTTTGTATTAGTCAATGTATTGCTGGGAAAGGTTGCTGGCCCAGGAAAACTCCCCAGGCTAGCCTGCAGTAGACACTTCACAGCACCAAAGGTACAAGGTTACTCACACCAGCCCCTGACCTCTAGGAGCAAGGTATTTGAGTTCCTCTTTATTCAGTCCTTAGCCTGTCAGCAAGGGGGCTGGTAGAGCCTCAGGCCAGGTGGTTATGGTGCTGACACCTGTCCAGCTGGCATATGGTGATTTTCAGTCCTTCCCACTGAGCTGGTGCTGAAGCAGTGACCTAAAGGGGAAAAGCTCCCGTGGCATGTAACCAGTGTTTGGTGCACAGCCTAGGGGCTGTGCTTTAAGGGCAGAGCGTGACGATTCATTATAATCCATTGTACCAATGACAGTGTCTGCTGGAGCAGACTGTTTTGTCCCAAAGGCCTGCAGAGAGTCACTGTACACAGCACACTCACAGTCAGACCAGCGGGAGAGAGCAGTAGCACAACGTGCAAAAACTTCCTTGTGGGCTGCGTTCCCATCCTCTCTTCTGCCTGCTGCCCTTCTGTACAGCTCCCCCTTCACTCCCTCATGCATGTCAATGATTATTTCAGATGACGGGAGATGCTGCATATTCCAGTGGGGGCACACGCCAGAAGCAGGTAAGACTCAAAGCTGACATCTCAACTGAAATGTTACCGAGTACCTTACGCAGGTGGGTAATATGGACTAGAGGAACAAAAAATCTTTCCCACAACGTCATCTTTGCAGCTTCTGTAGCCGATGCAGCTCTATACGCGCATGGTGCAGTCTTTTCGTTAAATGTATGCATTAGCATAGGGGACTTTTTAAGATCAGTGGCTGGAAGGCACGCGAGAAGCCTGTATTGCGTTGGGTGCAGCTCCCTCACAGCTTCAGTGGAGTGTTTTCAGCTACCTGATATATAAATCCCTTTTGTCAGAGCTGAAGCCACATCACCAGCCGGTTAGAATGCTCTAACTCTGCACCGGGCATCATGACCATCAGCTAAACCAGGGCTGGGCAAAATATGGCCCCGGGGGCTGGATCCGGCCCACAGACCACCCTGCCAGGACCCCCAGGCACGTAGCTTCTGCAGTTTAAAATGCAGTCCCTATGTTTCTCTGTTCTGCAGGGAGGGGGGAAGCTTCGTGTAATCTTCCCACCCCCAGCCCAGTCCTCAACTCCTATTGGCCAGAAGCAACCAGGTAATAAGAATTGACCTCGGCCAATTTCTCAGCTCCTATGGGCTGGAAACAGCCAACAAATCGGAGCTGAGAAATTGGCCCGAGAGAGAGGGGGCAGTGCAAGCCTCTTCCCTCACCCGGAGTTGAGAGCCATGTGGAGGGAGCAGGCTGTATTTTCAAGTGGTCTGGGGCTGCAGCAGGCAGGGAGCCCAGCCTGCCTTGAGGTGCTGCAGGGCTGCTGGCCAGGAGACACTTAGATAAACTCCTTCCAGCCAGAGCCTGCCTCTGGCACCCCAACCCCTCCTGCATCCCAACTCCCTCCCCCCAGGTCACCATCCAAACCCTCTGCACCCCCTGCCCCAGGTCACAAACTCCCTCCCAGACCCTGCACCCTCCCCCACACCTCTTCCCTAGGCTAGAAGCCTCTCCTCTGCACACAAGCACCCTCCCAGACCCTGCACCCCAATTCCCTGCCCCAGGTCACAGTTCTCTCCTTCACCCAAACTCCCTTTCAGACCCCACACCATCTGCTCCCCCAGTCCCTTACCCTGGGCACCCTTCTGTACTCAACCGCCATCCTAGGCCCCGCACTCTCTCCAGGGAAAAGTATGGCCCCTTAACCACTTTCAAAATCTTGGAGTGTCCCCTCCCACCCAAAATTATTGCCCACCCCTGAGCTAAAGCACTTGTAGGCTATGTCTAGACTGGCAAGTTTTTCCAGAAAATCAGCCGCTTTTCCGGAAAAACTTGCCAGCTGTCTACACTGGCCGCTTGAATTTCCACAAAAGCACTGACGATCTCATGTAAGATTGTCAGTGTTCTTGCGGAAATACTATGCTGCTCCCATTCAGGCAAAAGTCCTTTCGCGCAAAAATTTTGCGCAAGAGGGCCAGTGTAGTCAGCTCAGATTTGTTTTGCGCAAAAAAGCCCTGATCGTGAAAATGGCCTGTAAGCAAAGACACTGCTCCTTTTGTTCTTGGTGCCTCCTGTGCTCACAGATGCAGGACTCCGTACATTCTAGGTGAATTAATGAGATTGTCTCTAGGAAAATACCAGGCACGATCAATTTCTGCTCCCAGCTGCCACCATCTATAAAGCCTCAAACTTTGACTAGCCCCTTGGGCAGAAAAGGGTTAACAACATTCTTCATTTGTGAGATGTCAGTGCATAGGACCTAAGTCTGTCCAGTGCCACATAGCCACATCCTCCGCAGTCTGGAGCATTAGAGAGACTGCTGAGGGGAGTTCTCTGGGCTGTTTCCTTACACACCACACCACACCACACCACACATCTGTGTTCAGCCTGGTGTAAGGATGTCCTGTGGCATTGCTGAGGAGAGGAGCAGGGCAGCTAATGCTCTTTAATTAGTCAAGCCTAATAGTGGAAGGGCTGGTGGCCCTAGCCTCTGTTTGTCAGAAGCTGGGAATGGACGACAGGGCTGGATCACTTGCTGGGACAAGCTAGGGTGGGATTCCCTGTTCTGTTCACGCCCTCTGGGGCACCTGGCATTGGCCACTGGTGGAAGACAGGACACTGGGCTGGGTGGACCTTTGGCCTGACCCAGTCCGGCTGTTCTTATCAATCTCTTTGGCCTGTTCTACACGAGAAGGGTGGAACTAGCGCACAGATTGCTATCCGGATCAAGTTGAAACACGTCTTTCTTTTACTATACAGTACGCATAGTAACATTAGAGTCTCATTCCGACACTCCTAGTATCTGTTGACAGGGTGGAGAACAACTTTGCTCCACTCTGTTCTGTAGAGGGCTGGTGACAAAACAAGGGATGGAAGGGCTACATCATCCCTTTTACCTCCTGTTATTTAAAAGAAAGGCTAATCCCTATGCTCTTAGGAGGGGAAGCTCTGGGACTCGGTGAAGACAACTGGCGTCATACTCGGCCCAGGTCTGCTCATGTTCGCTGCCTTCAGGAACTCTGTCACCTGGTAAGACCACCCCAGGCTAACCTGAAACGAGACAAACGGGGGGGAGGGGGAGGGAAGGAGGAGGGAGTGTTGATATTTTTGTAATGAAAAGCAAAACCTGGCAGCTGTGTCTACACAGGCAAGTTATTCCGGAAAATCAGCCGCTTTTCCGGAAAAACTTGCCAGCTGTCTATACTGGCCACTTGAATTTCCGGAAAAGCACTGACGATCTAATGTAAAATCATCAGTGCTTTTCCAGAAAAACTATGCTGCTCCCGTTCGGGCAAAAGTCTTTTTCCGGAAAACTGTTCTGGAAAAGGGCCAGTGTAGACAGCACAGTAGTGTTTTCCGCAAAAAAGCCCCGATTGCAAAAATGCTTTTCTGAAAAAGTGTCCTGCCAATCTAGATGCGCTTTTCCGGAAATACTTTAATGGAAAAACTTTTCCGTTAAAAGCATTTCCGGAAAATCATGCCAGTGTAGACGTAGCCGGCATGTAATTCTCAGGCCCTTCTCCCCAGGCACTTGCAGAAGTTCTGGGGGGCTTCGGGCGATTTCTGGCAAGCACGATGGGAGCAAGTGCACCACCTGCTTGGAGGAAACGAATGGGCAATTTTCTTGCTTG